ATGTGTGTGTATATGTATAGGAAATTGCCTGCTGTACAAGTCCCTCACATGCTAGGTGGGGGGTGGGGTGGGTGATTATTTAAAAAATAAATAAAATTAGCCTACCCCCCCCCCTATTTGTGTGTGGCCTGTACGGGTAGCAGAACTCGAAGGATGATGGTAGAAGGTTATTGTTTTCAATTATTGAGAGAAAAAAATAAATAAATAAATCTAAGGTTGTCCTTTTTTGTACGGGATATACAAATCATTTTATCTTAACTTGCGGTTGAAATTGCGGGTAGAACATTGTAGGAAGTTTCTTGGCAAAAAAGATCAAAGTGATTGACATTGTTATATGAAAGAGAATTGGTCGGAAGTTTCTTGGAGGAAAGGAACAAATTCTAGGATTCTGGCTCTGCTTTTGGAGTTCAATAAACTTTGTGTACATGAATTCATAGATTTCTCTAGATTTTTCCTTTTTCTTTCTTTGAATTCATAAATAATGGTTCTTTCACTACCTGAATGGGTCCATTTCTCGAGCACCAGCTCCATAGTGTTGAAACATGGTCTAACCGTTCCCGTCTGGAATTACTCGTTGAGGGTCTAGCCTAGATTTGATATGGTTATGTAGAGTCTAGCTAGTTAAGCTTATGGTCGACACGAGACTATTTTATTTTTAATTTCAAAAATAAATCAAATAAATTATGAAAGGTGTCGATCGGGTGACCTCCATTGTCTATGCCCAACATGATGGAAAAGTATTGGGCGTGCCCTATCCACAATAATCTTCTATTAGTCTATGTCAGTACATGATAATAATCTCCAGTTTGGCTTGATAGCTATCTCCATATGTTACACTCAACTACTAGTGTAATTTATAATGCTATTGGAACAATAACGTAATATTATCTTCGACCAATGAAATATTTTTTTGACATTTAAGACTTGGACATATAAGATTATGAACATTTGAAAAAAGATGGGTTCTAAATGGTTTAAAGGTGGAACCATATGTAATATGTGAAGCTTGCCTTCAAGAATCCTTTTCAGCTAAAGAATATAGTGCCAAGGATGTTTTAGAATTAATCGGTTCTTATATATGTGGTCCTACGAGTGCAATTGCGATAAGCGATCACGAGTACTTTGACATATTTATGGATGATTACTCAAGATACAGGTACATATAATTGAAGTATAAAAGTTCAAAAAATCTTGAAAGTTCAAAGAGTATCGTACAGAGGTTGAGAAACATTTGGGAAAAATATCAAAACATTTCGATCAAATTAAGGTCATGAATACCTTGTACATGGATTTAGGAAATACCTATCGGAATATGTGATTGTATCCAACCAAGGCGCAAATGGACACCCCAACAAAATGGTATTTGAGAGAGGAGAAACAGAACTTTATCAAATATGGTTAAATCCATTACGAGTTTTTCATCATTTTAGGGATATACCCTCGAGACTATGGAAAATGACAAGTGTACATCAAGTGCTGTACACTATATTTGACAGCTCTCTCACAAAATGTGGGGCTCGAGATTATTTTAATCGCAGCCCCAATCCTCCATATGAGAAAGTTGTCAACAATACTGTGAAATAAGTTGTACCTGTAGCACAATTTCGAGACTACAGCGTATGTTGAGAACATAGTTCCATCAAAGTCTTTTCCTTAGGACTTCTCTCGAAATCTAGAATGGACGTAGAGCTACCAACATTGGTCATCTCCACATTTGGGGTTATCAAAACCTCCTATTTGGCCAATCAACGCTGCCTCGAATAGGTAGATAATGTAGCTGATTTGAATACACATGTTGGGGAATGGGAGATTGGAACTATTAGCGAGAATTTTTGTCTCATCTGATAAAGAGCAGATTTTGCCTATTCCACTAGATACATTGAGACGAGATTTATTAATTATGCACCACGACCCAAACGGAACTTATATTTATAGAAGTGGATATAAGTGCTTGTTGAATGGTGATCTAGATCACGAAGCTGCAAGTACTTCTGATGGAGGGATATTTGGACTCGAATATCCACTCGTTGCACTCTAAGTCAACTAGCGCGGATTGAATAGAGCTAGTCATGGCTCTCAAAGATGAGAATTGTAGCTTTATTAGGCGACGTCAATTGTGGTTCTTGTTGTTTTATTTCCCATGACGAGAATAGAGTAGCCCACTTTGTAGCGTTTTTTATTCATTTAGTCATTGGCACTTCTGGTTGGATTGATTGTATTCCATTCTTTTTATAGTCTCCAAGTCGTGGCAATCTATTTTAGTGTATTCCATTTTGCTTTATAAAAATAAAAAATAAAAAAAGGCGATACTACTTCTAATTTCTAAAAAATTCCATAATTAAACAAGAATTTCCTAAATTGAATATATAAGTTAAATATTAAATATTTGACATTATTTTATTACAGTAAAAGTTTCGATGTTTTAATCAACTATTGATCTTCTATTTTTGTTTCAATTTGGATGGTTAAGTTTAGACGTGAGCCTTTTTTTTTTCTTTTGGGAGGTGCCTATAATGAAACAGAAACTAAAGTTCATTGACTAAGTTGAGAAAAAAAAAAAAGTTTGGTGACCGAAGTGGAGAAACGCATATAATGACTACAAGCGTTTTCAATCAAGTAGACGCATTGGTACATGTTCATGTGTGGGCTCGTGTCAAAATGAACATGCAACCTAGAGTTGGGGTTACCTAGCTCAAACAAATGGATCGAAATCAGCTTTAACTCGATCGAGGTTTCATGGGTTCATGGATTGGCCAATCAATATAGGAGATCAAATCAGGTTGACTATTCAACCATTCATGTAGGGGTGTACATTTTAGCGAAAATCAAACCTGCCAAATTGAAATCGAACCAAGATCAAATATTTCGATCTAGTTCCAAAATAATAAATTAGGAATCAAATTGAAAATCAATTCGGTCCAAGTCGATTCTTAGTTCTTGAATAGGAACCGTAAGTACTCGACTCTAAAATCGAATTTGTCCTTTCTTATGAGTATTTATTTTTAAAATTTATTCATCCCAACCCCCAACGACCTCGACTCAACAAGTAGAAGTTTCAAATCAATCATATTCATTCATTTGAATAATTGAATCATATCGCTTTCATTCATAATCCCTACTAACCACACTTTATGTTCTGTCCGCCTCATAAACCTTTGTTGATGCATCACACACAAAGCCAGGTTGAATCTGATGCTATTATTCTAGAGATTGAATGTTCGTTGGAGACATATTTGCACTGAATTAAGAAAGTGTATGTGTGTATTAATTTCTAGTACATATTAGAAAAATATTTATTTTATTGTCAAAATAAGTATTTAATTTGAACAAATGAAAAATCTATGTATTTAAAAACACAATTATTTGCCTATAAGTAAGTTTACTTACAAGTTGAGTTTTCTTAGCCAAACATGCACGAAGAACGTAAGGGAAGAAGAGATATTATTGGCTGTTGGAACCATGAAGTAGTCTTTCTTTTCTTCAGTATTCATATCGTTGTCTCCACTTTACTCTCTTCCTTCTCAGATTAATACACGCAGGCAGGCTCACCGATTTACTGCTAAAATCTTGAAAATCCATTTTTAAGTCTTAATAGGATCATAGAATTACTCCTCATTTGTGCTGTTCAAGTTGCTGATTTCTTCATTCTAAGCTCAATCCTACCTGGGATAGACATCGGAAAATTCTCAGGTATGCCCACGCCCTTCTGGTAAACACGGACGATCGCACCGTTGCACATAAAGGCCTATTCATGTAGGCAAATGTGTAAGTGTATGTGTATGCTACATTTCCCAGTTACTTGCCTTGTATTTGATTAAATATGACCTTTTTTCTAGAAAGTACTACTTCCATCCCATATTTTTTTATTTTTTTCCCGCCTGTCCCAAATTATAGACCACTTTTTTTATTGAAAGTATAGATATATATTTTTTTGTTTTCTAATATTCCCCTATTTAATATACATTGTTATCAACAAATATAAATTAATCCTATTTAAATCATTATTTAATGTGGGGGTATATTAGGAAAAATGTAAGAAAAATTTATATTTCCAACTATATTAATTACATTTTCTTTCTGGAGAGTGCTAGATGTAAAACCTATTTTTGTACAAAATGGTTTACTTACACTCACAATGGGAGGGTGAGGGCTACATGTTGGCATTTTTAATTTCATGTGGGGCCCAAGTGTATGTGAGAGTGAGTAAAACATTTTGTACAAATGTGTGCGTACAAATATCTTTGTCCTTTCTTAATTTGTGTGTAAAATAGTAACAAGCCTGCGACGGAGTTAGTACAAAATAAGAAAGGGTAATTTGCCCATTTAATTCTTCTTGTTTCTTAAACTTTCTTTGCATAAGTAGGGGTCACTGGACCCAACCCAATTTAGAGGGAGATGTTAGAGAGTAACAACACAATCTTTCATTTAAGTCAGAAAGAATTTTATCATTTAGTTTTAGACTTAAGAAATTTATGTTAATTGCTTCGATTCAGAATTTTCAGTTTCCTTTATTGGCTGAGTTTTTCTAGTAACAAACCAAACTCTCGTGTTGCTGGAAGTTCTTTTAGCTCATAATCACAGTATCTGGTTTTAAGTCTTCACACTGTTTTATGGTGTTCAAAACGGTAATCTTATTTATTTACAATGAAGTGTTGTCAAATGGTGATCCTACCTCAATCGATGCTCTGCATTCCCTAAAACTCAATAAAAGTATCAAAAAATGATGGTAGTCGGTAGTTGTTCTTCGTGCTTTTTACTTGCTCAAATGATATTTTTAATCTTCTGACTAGATAAATGTTCAGAACCCTAATCCTTGAAATAAAAACAAACAAAGAAGCTCTATATTTTTATGGGTTCTTGAAATCACTGTATTCCTTTTGTTAGGGATTTTTTTTGTATTCTTTCACTCTGACTTCGGTACCTATAAGTGTGCTCATTATATGTAGAGAATTAACATTGTTGTACCACCATAATATCTTCAATTTGCTTTCTTGGATCAGAAATGGGATGGATTTGAGATGAAGAATGTAAATCTGGAGTTGCACAATGCTGAAATCCTTTTCAAGATCGGTTATCTCTCAAGGAATAAGCATAAGGAAAAAGATAAAAAAATATTTGTAACATTTGACGTTGGAACAAACCGGCCATTCCTGTTATCTAGAGACTTCATCTCAGTAAGGCTTTCGAATGGGAAAGGCAAAGAATTTCAGGTAAGCCTCAGTTTTTTATCAACTGAATCGACAGGATCACAGTAGTGAAGCTGATTCTTGTGTTGTCAATTTAAAATTTGTTGCTATATTCAACCAATGCTCACTTGATTTCTAATTTTTTTCCTCCATCACATACTGATATTTTCTTTGACTGTTTTCTTTGAGAAGGGCTGAAAGGTCATTACTAGGGTCGACCAAAAAGCCATAATGTCACGAAACGAGGAGGCTATAGTATTAAACTAAGAAGCCATTTCAAACAGAATGTTTAGCTTTTCTCTTTGATGATGTCAAAGTACTGTTATACTTAACTTATCTAAAATGGGAATTAAAACAGAGAAAAATAAAACAATTGATGAACCTTAGCTACTGGTCATCTCATAGACTAAACCATAAAATATCAATCATCCTGACATGTTTGAATCATTTCACATCTCAAGATAGTAACTAAATCATCAATTTTTTGAGAAAAATAATTGAACTTACTCACCCCTCTTTGAACCAACACTATCAAAAGCAGACTAGAACCGGAGAGCCTAGTCCGACTAGAAAAACCAAGAACTGGTCTGAAATTCAATCCAATTATAGAGTAAAAACCAGAAATTTTGAAACTGGTAAAATAACTATTGAACTAATATTGAGAGAGAAAATATTTTCTTAATATTAATCATGGGAAAAGATACACTCACACGTGTGTGTGTGTTTGTATATATGTGTGTGTGTGAGAGAGAGAGAGAGAGAGAGTGTGTGTGTGTGTGTGAGTGTGTGTATTAAGAAGTCTATATTAGGAAGGTATGCTAATTAGGAATCCCTATAATTATGCCAATCCCTACAATTAAGCCTATACACGACCCTACAGATTTATTGTTATATCCTGTAACATGAACCAACCAAATTATAAAAGTTGATTTTATTTATTTATTCAATTTATTATAGCTGTTTCAGCCAAGATCTATCCCTTGATCCTTGATCCTCTCTCTTTCCAGGAAATTTAAAAAAATAAAAAATAAAAAAAAATAAATAAATAAAAAATAATAATAATAATTTGAACACATGAACATTAGATGATTGATGTTCAACATATTGGTTTATTGCAATTTAGTCAAGGCCTTAAGTGCATTTTTGTTCCTCATTTTTCCTCAAAAATGATGATCAGACTATATTCCGTCCATTACTGAGTAAATTCCTGAATTATACTAAGCCATATTGTGGTTCCACATTGTCTAGGGTTTTGGCTAGTATATAAGAACTGTCTATGATTCCTTTTTGAACAAGTTGAATAACATCCCTTCTTCCTCATGTTTTCCTCTGTGGATCAGAATATATTCTGTACATTACTGAGTAAATTCTAGAATTTTAGGAGCCATGTTGAGGTTCCACACTGTCTAGGGTTTTAGCTATTAAATAAGAAATTTGTAAAATTCCTTGTCGAACATGTTGACTGTATACTTTTCATTAGCTATATGGTTTTTATTTTCTCCTTTCCATCCCAATTGAATTCAGTAATCTCTTCACATAATCAGATGGCTATTCCGGAGTAATTGAATGTCATTTAGCTCTTTTCATGTATCTGTTTGCAATGGAAGTATATATTCGAATCTTATATTCACAAGATTTTCCTTATACATTGCATTGTCTAGTATTGAATTTTAGTAAATGTAATTCATTCCTGTCTTATTAATCTCACTGTCATCGTATTCTTAAACAGGGTAGTTTCTATCGTCTGGTGGGGAAAAATTTGCTCTTGGCTGAATTTGGAGATGATTTTCACGCTCATTATCAATCAGACCACAAATACGATGTCAAATTTTCATTCAATAGAGTTTGTTTAAAGCGGGCACACCATGCAATCGCAGTTGCCTCAGAATCCTTAGGTAGAAACTTCCTCTTCCCCGAGTCCATTCCAGAAAATAATGTTACCTCCATGGAACTGTTTATTGACCCCAAACTCGATAAGCAGCAAATTTCTTCTCTTCAACACATCTTAAGCCTCAAGGGCTCACCTCCTTACCTCATTGAGGGACCAATATCTGTAACTGAAACAAAGGCATTGTCGAAACCTGGACTATTAATTGCAGAAGCAGTTGCCCAAATCTGTCGAAGTTCCCCATCAAATCGAATTCTTGTATGTGCACCATTAAACCAAACATGTGATGTGCTAATGAGAGGCCTCCAGCAGCGGATTCCGAAGTCTGATATGTTTCGAGCCAATGCAGCATTTCGAGAGTTGGATGGAGTACCCTTCGATATCCTTCGGTCCTGCTCATATGAGGAAGAGGTCGAGTGCTTTTCGTGTCCTCGTCTTGATGAACTCGAAAAATTCCAGGTAATCCTTTCCACTTTCATCAGTAGCTTTCGACTGTATGCTGAAGGACTGAAGACTGGACACTTTAGTCATATTTTTCTGGTAGACGCCTCATCGGCCACAGAACCTGAGGCTATGGTGCCTCTGGCGAACTTTGCAAATGACAGAACAGCCGTCATAATGACTGGTACACCAAAGAGGAATTCAGGTTGGATTCGCTCTCCTATTGCAAGAAATAATGGATTGAAGATTTCCTACTTTGAGAGACTCAGAGAAGGCAAGCTTTACCGAGGCCTTGATCCAAAGTTTATAACACTACTGAAAAATTCTGCAATAAAATCTGATGATACATTTGGATCATTCCACTGAAATTCCGTTTCTTGTACAAACAAAATGGTGCTTGCATGTTTATGTATTGGTTCCTTGAGTGCAAGTTGCACTGAGATTCCCCTGCAATTGTATTTTTCTTTGGCACCTCTGGAAAGTCTCTGTTGTTTGATTACCTTTGTAGCATGTTTGGTACTTAATAAACAGTCGTATTCTCGAGCATGTCCTAGGTGTATATGTTGTCTCTCAACCACTAAAAATGTCAAGAATTAAATTAAAATCTATAGAGACTGTAGGATTGAACTCCCCAACTTTAAAGGTAGCATAATTTTGGTCCTAACCTTCAAAATTGAGGTTACAGTACCTCAACTTATTTAAATCTGTGAATCAAGATCCTTATATAGTGGAAATCGTCAATGTGGACATTAAAATTTTAAGTAGTTTGATGGTTTTGGCGTGCAATGTAACATTCACATTGACTGTTTCCGTCACAAAAAGACCTAGAACCTCAGTTTTTTAGATTATGGACTCGAGGTCACACTAATTGAAAGTAAATTTGCCCTTGGTACTTACTCAAAGCTACTGATGGGGGAAAAGAGTGAATATATTTGACGGAGTCGAAAAGGATTTCGCTAGTCATAGTAAGGTCTTTTGAGCCTTTGTCCGGGGACTCAAACAACGAGATTGCTAATGCCCACCACCCTGTGTCCTTGGCATTGAAGTAAAATGAGATGACCATTATGCGAGTGCTCATCTCTCTTGAAACAAGTCCTAGCGTTTATAGGGATGTCAAATGGGCCGAACGACTCGTTGGCTCGGGCGCTCAGCTCGTTAAAACTCGGTTCATGGGCAGCTTGAACTCGTCAAATGACGAGCCCGAGCCTGAGCTCGAGTCGAGCAGGGGGCTCAATCCCTTGAGCAAAGTTACAAGCGTGGGCTCGTAAAAAATGTGCAAATTTACAAAAATTAAAAATTAAAACAAATCAAGAGCTCACGAGCGGCTCGTGGGCTCGACTTGGCTTGCTAGCTTGTGGCTCGTGAGCTCGCCCACAAGGTGAGACGAGGTGGTAACACTCCAAGGTGTCTACACAAGGGTGATGAGGCCAAGGCAATATGCTGCGGAGACGAGGAGAAACGCCTCTTCGCCACCAGTTTCACAAACAGATTTTTTACACGATTGTTTCTATATCTTTAGGAATGATTGATGTGACGTTTCTGCCATATGTCAATCCAAGATCAGAGAAATTAAATGCCCGCCCACCAAGTAAGCGACTGATGGACGCCTACGACCGGACACCTCGCATCGTCGGATGGCTACACGTGTCTCACGTATGATGGTACCCTTTGCCTATAAATACTAAGGACTTGGCCATAAAGAAGGTAAGCATTCCATAGTAAAGTAATTATACTCTCCCCCCCATAATTTAGCTTGTGCGTTCCAACATCGCTTCCTCCACCGTCGACTAACTTGATCGTCAAAGTATATGTGGCCACCACCTTCATCGTCAGTATCGACCATATATGCCTGACCGTTAGTCGTTGCACGTAGGGGGAACACGTGGAGTAGCTCACCATTGGCCACGTAGAGGGCCCAAAGTGCGGGGTCAACAGACTCAAACATTGGAACAAGATGGATAAGTGGTGTGAATTTGATTGAAATCCAAACTTAATAACAATTCAGATAAATATAAATTATTGCAGCTGCTTGGCATATCTTACGTGAACATGCCATTGAAATCACATTCTGTGTTGGGAAAATTTCATACACAAGAGATTAAGTATAGGCCATTTCAATAATAAGAAAACAAGTATGAAATTTCGCCAATCAGATACTGGTCTATCTTCATCGTCAGTATCGACCATATATGCCTGACCGTTAGTCGTTGCACGTAGGGGGAACACGTGGAGTAGCTCACCATTGGCCACGTAGAGGGCCCAAAGTGCGGGGTCAACAGACTCAAACATTGGAACAAGATGGATAAGTGGTGTGAATTTGATTGAAATCCAAACTTAATAACAATTCAGATAAATATAAATTATTGCAGCTGCTTGGCATATCTTACGTGAACATGCCATTGAAATCACATTCTGTGTTGGGAAAATTTCATACACAAGAGATTAAGTATAGGCCATTTCAATAATAAGAAAACAAGTATGAAATTTCACCAATCAGATACTGGTCTATACACACACACACACACACACACACTAATTTATTTGAAAATAAAAAACAATCCCACAAATCAGCATGACTTACCAAAACCAGTAGGACTTTCCATAAAAAAAAATCATCTCTCTAACTAATTTCAGAAGCTACGGAGATCTGAAATTACTTCCAATTTACCGTCGGCTCTATCTAAATTGACGGTAAAAGCACAGTTCGAGTCACGAATTGCAATCACCAGGTTGCATTACGTTAGAATAAAACATGAGTCCATCAAACAGACCCTGATATGTTACTTCAACCTGTAATTCAGAAAGTTTGCATTTATCATGTTTGTAATTACGATTAATAAAATGTAATTTGTCGTTTATTCCTACTTCCCAAGCATCGATCGATGAAATTGTGATTTGTGTGGGAATTGTGATCGTGAATATCATTCAATGATGTTCGAAAGTGTTGTGACTGTTGCACACAACCTGTAACCGTCTGTTTATAGGATGTGACCTTATGTAGTAATGGCACGTGGGTGTTTGTGTCTCGAAATGTGTGACATGTGTGACATATTGAATATGTGACATGTGACATTAATGTTGTTGTTTGAATTAGTTACCGTGCCTCAATTGTGCATGTTTTGTGATTTAATACGAACATGTGATCTGTATATATTCAATATGTGACCATGATATTCGAGATTCAACATGCATTTGTTGTCACCTGTGATCAATTAAAATTGTGACCATATGCTATTAGCTGTGACCAATATGCAATGACTTATGGCCACTCTTCAATGGCATGTAACTAATATGCAATGACCTATGACCAATTACAAAAAAATCTGGAAAATAAGAACATGTGACCTGCATGTATTCAATATGTGACCATGATATTCGAAATTCGACATGTGTTTGTTGTGACTGTAATTGGATGTTTGACTAATTATGTTTTTGTTCATTTTGTAGAAATGAGGTTCATTCACGTTTATTTGTTGAATAAATCACAAATGATGCTAGTCTTGATTGATCGTAGTTGCGGGCATTTGAGGCTTGTTGATACAGTTATGAAAGAGTTTGGCTTGGACCCTGCAAAAATTGTTGTGACGATGAAGGCATTTGAAGTATGTCTTGAATAGTGATCTACCTCCGATAACAATCAAGAGTGACAATAATGTATTATCGTACATACTTTTGAAATATACGAATCGTTACCCTGCCAAAGATTCAATTCACATTGAGGTCACAACTGCAAATAGTGAAAAACAGCCTATTGCGGTATCAGTTAATGTTCAATTGAATGAATATAGGTTTTCATTAGCAGATATGTCATCAGATATCTGTGGAGCAACAGTGGATCCATCTAGTGATAAGTTCAAACATGAGGTCACAGTTGTGGTGGTCGTAGATGCTAGGGAGGTAGAGGAAGGGAGAGTTTTTTGTAACAAAGAAATTATGAAATTGAGCTTGTTGTTTTTTGCAATCCAACATATGTTTGAATATGTGGTCGTTCGGTCAGATAAGAAAGGCTATTTCGTAAAATGTTCACATGGCGAGTATAGTTGGACATGCAGATCATCAAAATTAGCCGGAACAGATATGTTTGAAATTAGGCATATTGCAGAAGATCACACACGTGCTGTAAACATCGTACTCAGTGTTTATAGACAAGTAACAAAGAGAGTTGTGACAACCTGCATTAAGTATAAGTACATATCATCGCGCACCATATACACAATGAATGATATACGCAACAACATGTTGTATACATATGGAGTATCTTTGAACTATGTTAAAATTTAGCGATCTCAAGAGGAAACTTTGAAAGTGTTAAGGGGTGATCCAACTAATTCATTTAATAAGATATTAGCATTTTTTTCCGTGCTACAGCAAACAAACCCTAGATCGGTCACAAGCCTAAAATTGATGGTCATAGTAGGTTTAAATATTATTTCACGGCACTAGGTGCATCTATATGGGGATGGAAACATTTTAGGCCAGTTGTTGTGGTTGATGGCACATATTTAAATGGACACTATGATTACACCTTACTCATGGCATGTACACAAGATGCAAATAATAGCATCTATGTACTTGCTTTCGGGATTGGGGATAATGAGAATGACAGCTCTTGGACATGATTTTTCGGACAGCTAAAGAAAACTTATGGGGACAGAGACGGTTTGTGCCTTGTATCGGATCGTCACAACAACATCAAAAAGGCAATTGAAAACGTGTATCCGGGAACTTCTCACGGGATATGTTCGTACCATCTACTACAAAATCTGAAATCACATTACGGGAGATCGAGACAAAACATAACACAAGCATTCAATGTAGCTATTCGCGCTTGCCCATTGTTGGAATATGAATATTACATGCAACAGCTCGACTCGATTAATGAGAAGATAAGGGGTTACCTGGTAACATACCATACATTATCCTATAATGTTATTCATTTAAATACTTTTAACATGATATTGTGCACTATATGATATACATCTCCATGATTTTGTTTATAGGACGATGTTGGACTTGAGAGATGGTCACGTTTCCACATGCCTTCAAATCGGTATTCCATAATGACATCTAATATCGTGGAGTCGGTTAATGCGGTCACAAAGTCTCCCAAGAACTACCACATTTTAGCTTTGTTGGAGTCATTAAGAGAAATTCTTCAATCTTGGTTCTGCAGACACGAGGAAAAGGCACAAGGCACTTTTACAATTTTGTCAAGCAAATATGAGAAGCAGATGAGGGAAATGAGCACAAATATGAGAAACTTGAGGGTGAAGTTAAATTCTATGACTTAATCTCTAATCTGTGATTTACCAAAATGATATGTGACATGTGCTGTGACCTGTACTATTGTGTTTGAGTAATATTTGTGTCACATTATATATAAGTATGTGACATGCACTTTCATTCGTGTCCTAATTTTTGTTTATGTGACTTATTGTGTATATAACTTGCATCATAACTACAGGTTTCCCCCATTAATCAGGCAATGTTCTTAGTATGAATAATTAAAGTATGGTTTTGTATAATTTCCACTTTTGCGTTTTCCT